CGACCCTTTAATACAGTTCCTCATGTTGTGGTGACCCCCAACCATAAAATTATTTTCGTTGCTACTTCATAACTAATTTTGCTACTGTTATGAATCGCAATGTAAATATCTGATATGCAGGATGTATTTTGATTGTTACAAATGGAACATAATTAAAGCATAGTGATTAATCACAAAAACAGTATGTAATTATATATGTGTTTTCTGATGGTCTTAGGTGACCCCTGTGAAAGGGTCGTTTGACCCCAAAGGGGTCGCGACCCACCGGTTGAGAACCGCTGCCATAAGGGATGTCCAGGCACCTGTCCTCACTGCTGGAATGGTGAGCAGTTTCCTTTTCAGAAACCTCCTAACCTAGCACTCCATTCTGGCTGTCCTCCCCACCTGTGCGAGCAAGTTATTATGAAGCATAGTAACCTCCATCTGGTATAAAAAAAACAAACCCTGCTGTTTGAAACTCTCTGCTATTGTTAGATAGTCCCTAGTCCTGTAAACTCTGTCATTATAAATAAACTGTCACTTTAAGACAGTCTGTTATTCTGTAAAATGACTTTGTTTTTTAGTTCAAATAATAGAAAAAGATAAACTGTCTGACCTTGCAAGCTAGCCGTCTAATGTAATAGACTAAAATAGACTAATACTGATAATAATTCCAACTACTAACTCATTATGTATTCAAGGTTACAAACTAACTGTAACAATAACCTACACGGAGGTCTTAGTGAAACCTGCAAACAAAGACGCTCAAAAGGTATAAATACAAGCCACTTCCTCTATGTCGGGGCTCAGAGATTTGGAAGAGACACCTCCCTCTGGGCCGTGCGCAATGAACGACTCCTAGTTAATTGGCTTATGAAGGCGTCTTGTATCTCATTCGATGATTTATGACACAATTACTTTTTGAATGCTTGGCTTCCTTTCTTTTGGAAAACGGTTCCTCCGCAAGTCCATGTGGTTCTGCTGGTTGTCAGTGAGAGCATCCACCTTCCCATGCTCCTCTGGTTCCTGCTTAGTTCTAGGCCTGGGTGTTCCGCTTCCTCTTTGAGCCTGTGTTTATTCAGCATCGCCCCAATACACTCCTTTTTTCCTAACTTAGGTTGTGTTTGTGTTGGCAACCAAAGAATTCTCACTGATTACACAGCCTTGTAAGATAGTTGGCCAGGAAGGCGCCTTTGTGCCTTTCACCTTGTGGCCAAAAGACAGCCCCTCGGAATAGATGTGGGGTAAATAGAGAACCAAGGGCCTCTTCCGGTGGAGCCCTCCTATCGGGGCCATGGCTTGTCAAGCAACATGCAGCCTGGAGCTCAGCTCTCACTGCCCCCGTCGGCCGTGTGCTCTTGTGCAGAGCACAGGTGACACAGCCTGACGTAGAGACCCTGTTGTCGGGCCCCCCACCCTTCCCCTCAGCTCTCTTCTCCTCTTTCCACCGTCCGTTTACCTCCGCTAGGCTTTTACTTGGGCAACATCAAAGCTGATAACAGCTATGTTTACCTTTGTAGCAATAGTTAAGTCTTCCGTGCTTTGTCCATCTGTTGATTCTAAAAGTTGAAACTCAATTAACAGTGTTTAGCTTATGTATTGTGACTTATAAATATCTTTCAATGCAGAGCTAGTAATCACTGAGATTACATTTCCTTTCTTGAACTGTTTTAATTACCTTTTGAGAAACAATATTTGATAGATTCACAGGATTATATAAAATATATGTTAGTTATAAATGATTCTACAATAATGAATACCATGTACCTTTCACCCAAATCAGGCACCAGGAACCCAGTGCCAGTAATGTGCATGTGCCAATGTAATCCTCCCTGTCCCATTCCCCTGCTCCCCCTGAGAGAGAGGCAATATTATTTTTTGTGTTTATCACTCCACTGCTTTAAAAAAAAGCCATGCACTCATAATAGCATGTATGCATAAACAATGTTCTGTTCAGTTGTGTTTGTTTATGAGCTCTATAAAAATGTTTACAATGTAGTCTTCTGGGAGTTCTGTTTTTCAGGAAACGTTGTATTTCCAAGATTCTTCCATGTTGTTTTGCATTGCTATTGGAACTGTTTATTATGATTAGAAACTCTTAGGAACTCCAGGAAAAACTGAAACAGAGCCAAAGAAGGAAACACGATCCTGATGGTCAGCAGCTCTATATGAATGTCAGTCCCAGTAGGCCCAGCACCCCCTTCGTCCATCACTGCCCGCTCCTAGTGTAGAAGAGAGTTATCCCAACCCATGGCCAAGGAAGCTAGGGAATTTGTTCACCAACTCCCTATCTGTCAGTAGTTCATGGGTCAGCCTCCACATCCGGGGCCCCTGACCATGGATGATTGTTCTAGGGATGGCACTTGTCCCTGGCAGGGCCAAAGAATGTTTCGCCCTAGACGGCTTGGCTCAGTGGATAGAGCATCAGCCTGCGGACTGAAGGGTCCCAGGTTCAATTCCGGCCAAGGGCACATGCCTGGGTTGTGGGCTCCATCCCCAGTGTGGGGTGTGCAGGAGGCAGCCAATCAATGATTCTCTCTCATCATTGATGTTTCTATCTCTCTCCTTCTCCCTTCCTCTCTGAAATCAATAAAGAAATATATTAAAAAAAAAAGACTGAGAGGTCTTCTCTTTGACAACCAAAGGTTAATAGCTTAAGTGTCTGTGGTGAGCCGGCACGGCCATGGCATACTCAGCCCCATGTTGGGCGCCTTATGTGCTGAGCCAGCTCAGCCAGGTTCGGTGAGCTTGAGTGGGGGCGGTGAAGGATGGAGAAAAGACAGACAAGAGAAGAAAGCTGGGTCTGGGTGGGACGCTGTCCCCTCTGATGGAGAGCCTCTCTGATGGAGAGCTAGCTACAGCGCCACGGACTACAAGCCGTGTCTTTATTTTATAGCCAGTTTCCACGAGGCAAAGTAAGGACGTGGTCAAGATGTTTACAACATTCTCGTGGGTTTCAATCCTACTCATTTACATGCACCTGAACTGTATCAAGCCCACATTACTCAGACACATGGGGCCACGTGTTCGGACCATAGGTTCAAGCTTACAGCTACAGCTGTTGGCTATCATTGTGCTGGGAGGGCTTTGCTCTCCAAGCTGGGCTTGCACATGGCCATGAGAGGACTGTGCCCTCTCATTAGTCCAAGGCTTGAACTTGTCCAAACACTGTGGCCACTCTCCACAGGTGTCAGGGCCACATTTCTCACTACGTGGACCAGAGGAGAGAAGGAGGTTGGTCTGCAGAGGAAGAGCAAGATATTGTGGGAGAAGGAGAGTCGGAGTGCTATGGTCTGAATGTCTGTGCACCCCCAAATCCATATGTTGGAAAACGACCCCAAGATTTATAGTATTAGGATGTGAGCCTTTGAGAGGAGATTACGTCATAAGGGTGGACCCTTATGAATGGAATTAGTGCCCTTACACTAGTAAAAGAGACCCCACAGAGCTCCCTATCCCCATGTAAAGACACAGCGAGAAGTCTGTGACTTGGAAGTGGGGCCTCACCCAACCATGACGACCATGACAGCACTGCGATCTTGGACTGCCAGTATGTGATTTCCTGATTCCAACCGTCCCCAAGGTGCAGCTCTGCACATGACCTCAGGATTCATGACTAACTCACCTTTTACTTCATTTAGGTTCTGTTCCCTCATTTACAGCCACTGATACGCCAGGAAGTCTGTCAAAAACCTCTGTGTTTTTGTTTCCTCCTCTAGTGAAAGAGCACAAAAATAATTAAAATGATAATTTAGCCGAAACCGGTTTGGCTCAGTGGATAGAGCGTCGGCCTGCGGACTGGGGGGTCCCAGATTCGATTCCGGTCAAGGGCATGTACCTGGGTTGTGGGCACATCCTCAGTGGGGGGTGTGCAGGAGGCAGCTGATCGATGTTTCTAACTCTCTATCTCTCTCCCTTCCTCTCTGTAAAAAAATCAATAAAATATATTTTAAAAAAATGATAATTTAACAATAATAACTACCACTTTCTGGGAATTTACTATGAACCAACGAGTGCTTTTTTGTTCCTTCTCTCATTCAACACTCAAACCAAGACAAGTATTATTGTCCCTGTGTTACAGACGAGTAAACGGAGGCATAAAGAAGCTCTGACTCATGTAGGTTCACGAGGCTGTTAAGAGGAAAGCCCAGCGTTCACACCCTACAGCCTGTGTGCTTCACCACGTGTCACTGTCTCCACAAAGCAAACCAACTCTGGCGGGATTCAAATTCACACCCAAATGTGAACGGCTTTCTCCTCATGAGAATCCCAGGAGCTAAGTGAGGTCCGGAGCCCCTATAACCAACCGGGCTGCCACGGGTGACTCAGATTTCTTTTCCTATAACTTAAAAGAGAGATTAGAAAAATCTTCTCAGATTTATGACACCCACATACCTTGTCCTTATCCTCCCCTCCCCCTTCTGAGGCTGCAAAAAAAAAAAAGGTAAAAAGAAAGATAGAAGAGGGAAGGGAATGGCAACTGTTGACTGGAAGTGAGGAGCGGTGGGGAGAGGGGTAGGGGTAAGTCGTGAGGTTGATTACACCTCTGGAAGACATTTCCAAATGTTTTCCTGGGGACAAACGTCTTCTCCCTCCTCCTGCTCCATCAGTGAGCATCTGAGGTTGGTGTCAGGGCAGGCGAAATGGGAAGGGAAAGGAGACCCTCAGAGACCATTGCTCGTAGGTGAAGGGAGGCCTCAGAGCCACAGCTCTGAGCTGAGACCTGAGGAGCAGTGTTTGGAGAAGGAGCTGGGGGTGAAGCCGTGGGCCCCTCCCCCATTTAACTGACGCCCAGGAATATTCCATGGCAGTTAGGGGCCCTGTCCTGCCAGATGGGTTGCTCTTTCCCAGATGCCAGGCCCTATGGTGGCACCTGCTCCGCTTGATGAAATTATTTAGAACGTGAGGGACAACTGAGCCTAGGAAGGGAAGGGGTGACATGGGGTGGAGGAGAGAAGGGGAGGCTCAAGGTTGGGATAGGGGACATTAGGGGTGAGGAGAAAGTGATAAACTTCAGAAACATGGAAAGGAAGGGGGTGCTTAAAAAGGAAGATGCGGTAGAGGTGAACCCGGGACAAGAAGAGGGGGTGCAGGACTTCGCCGTCTCCCCCAGCAGAAACAGGGTGCTGTACCGCCACCGGGACTCGCTGTTGCCCCTGAAATGGAAAGTTGCACACACCTCCCGCTGGAAGGCACAGGTGCTCGCCTCGGTGCTCAGCCTCATCGCCTTTTCCCTGATGCTGATCATGGCCTTCTCCAAAGCGTGGCTGTACCCCTCCACCATCCGCTTCTTCAAGCGCTGGCCTGCGGATGTCACAGAGCACATCTACAAATCTACCCACGTCATGTCCCGGGGGCTCCTGCAGATCTGCATCTTCCAGACCTGCTTCTCCTCAAGGGATGTGGAAGGTGAGACCCCCCACCCCCCCAATCCCATTCCAGGCCTCCAGTCTGCCTTGGCCTCTCCATTTACACCCCGGTATTCTTTTTATTTTTTCCTTTTTATTTTTAAAATATATTTTAGTGATTTTTTACAGAGAGGAAGGGAGAGGGATAGAGAGTTAGAAACATCGATGAGAGAGAAACATGGATCAGCTGCCTCCTGCACACCTCCTACTGGTACATGCCCTTGACGGGAATCGAACCTGGGACCCTTGAGCCCGCAGGCCGACGCTCTATCCACTGAGGCAAGCCGGTTAGGGCCACCCGGGTATTCTTGTCCCTTCCTTCTATCATCCTCACTGTGTTGGCCCACAAGATGACTCCACTGGCCCCGAGATTGCCAAGGATCATTTTTCCTCCCCCAGCCTGGCCAAACTGACTTGCCTGGCCCTTCAGTGGAAAGTGTTCATGCTTTTAATTAAGGCTTGCAGTCTAGTCTGTACTTAGAGAGATGTTGTGAGGGGCCTGGACTCGCAGGGCCTGTGAATCACCCATCAGTCACATCCTTCACCACGATCCTGGGAGAAGAGCCCATCAGGGTGAGATTTCCTTTCTCTAGGCTTGCGTACCCAGAGTTTGGGGAGGAGTCCCCAGAACGCTCTCCCTCCCGCTCTGGTCCCAGCAGCTGTTCTTGCCTTTGGCTCAGGCTTTGCTTTTCTGGGCCAGTTCCGGGTTTCCACACCTGGTTTCCCTGCCCTCTCCGTCCTGTCCTGGCTTCTTGCAGGTGCCTCATTCCCCGTTCTGGTTAATCTCACAGCGTGCTGTCCTCTCCCCTGCAGATTTGGGCCTCCTCTCTCAGATCTCCTGGAAAACCAGATCCTTTGACCTCCCCATTTCCTTTTCTTCATTGTCATTAATATTTTCAAAAAAAGTTACGTAGCCAGCTGGTGTGGTGGCTCCATGGTTGAGCGTCAACCCATGATTTGATTCCCAGTTAGGGCACATGTCCGGGTTTCTGGCTTGATCCCCAGGGTGGGGTGTGCTAGAGGCAGCCAGTCAATCATTCTCTCTCACCATTGCTGTTTCTGTCTCTCTCTCCCTCTCCTTTCCCTCTCTGAAGTCAATATATATATTTTAAAGTCACATTGCTATTATTTTCTTCCATTATGAAAGTAATACACCCTCATTACGATACATTTGGGGAAACAAAAGCTATTATTTATTATACACTTATTTTATTTAGTTAATTGAATCCTCAACCCTGATGGGGCAATTATTCTTATTTTATAGATGAAAAAAATTGAGACTCAAATTAAGAACCTTGCTCAGGGTCATAAAGCTATTAGGTTTAACCACATGAAATGGACAATATTTGACTGCTTTTCACCTACAAAAAAGAGCAAATTCATATGGATCAACCTAATAATGGCATGTTTACAATTATAACTCAGGTGTGTCTGGCTCCCAAACTAATGTAAGCACCCAACTTGCTCTATAGTGCTGCTCAAAGGCAGCCACTAGTAGCAGTGTGTTGAGACTCAATTTTTTCTAGGCTTTAAAAAAAAAAAATTGAACACATTTTACATGACTCCTACCTAGATGTATTTATTCTTCTAAATAATTTTATATCTTTTATTTTTTTATTTAATTTATATTATTTTAAATTTTATCTTTATGCAATATAATAAACATTTTCTTATTATAAGTAACTATAGTGTTCAACTTAATAAATTTATCACCTCTTACTCAACTATTTTATTTTCTTATTCTTTTTTTAAAAATATATTTTATTGATTTTTTACAGAGAGGAAGGGAGAGAGATAGAGGGTTAGAAACATCGATCAGCTGCCTCCTGCACATCTCCTACTGGGGATGTGTCCGCAACCCAGGTACATGCCCTTGACCAGAATCGAACCTGGGACCTTTGCATCCGCAGGCCGACGCTCTATCCACTGAGCCAAACCAGTTTCGGCTATTTTCTTATTCTTGGCAAATGCATTTCTCACTTTATATTTGAGGAAAATGGAAGCAACAAAATAAAGCTTTTTCTGTGTTTAATATTAATTCTTTGGTATAGATTTCCCAAAGTGGGTTTACTGGGTCAAATAGCATAAATATTTTAAGGGTTTTAATAATGTTTTCCATGTTGCTTTCAAAAAGTATGATAGCTATTTATACTTCCACTAATAATGTATGAGAAGTCTTGTTTCCTTGTATCTTTGCTAGCAATGCCTATTAACTTTAATTATATATATATATATATATATATATATATATATATATATATATATTTAAACATATATATTTAGCCCTGGCTGGTGTGGCTCGATTGACTGGGTGTTGTCCTGTGTACCAGGACATTGCTGTTTTGATTCCTGGTCAAGGGCATATGCCTGGGTCTTAGGCTAGATCACCCTGGGATGGTGCAGGAGGCAGTTGATTAATGTTGTGCTCACATAAATGTTTCTATGTCTTTCTCCCTTCCTCTCTCTCTAAAAATCAATAAACTATTCTTTAAATATATATATTTAAATTTAAATGTGTAACTTTTAATTAAAAAAAACATTGCATAGTTATTGGGGGGAAATACAGGAAGTTTAAAAAATAAAATAAAAATCACCTAAAATTCCCCACACAGATATAATCACAATGACATTACAATGGATTTAATTCCAGCCTTTTGTGTGTATATATACATAAAATAAATACAGAAATACAGATATATTTTTATTTTACTTTTTATTGCATTTATTGGTTAATAAAATTATATAGGTTTCACATGTATTATGTTATTTTAATAAATGTCTATTATTTTTAAAAATTGTAATCATTTTACATGCCCTGTATTGCAAACTCCACTTTTCAGTTGTGAGCATTTACTTATATCATTAAATAATTATTCTATAGCATCACCTATGTTTACAATTTATCTGATTAGGTAGTATATAAACAGAGTGAAAATTCAAAACATGCAGAAGATTATATAGTGAAGTGAGCCTCCTGTTTCTCCTTTCTTCCTAGAAACACTCTATTCAGAGACAATCAGCTGTCTTATCATCATTTTGTTTGTTTGTTAATCATCACCTGAGGATTTTTCCCATTGATTTTTAGAGAGAATGGAAGGGAGAGAGAGAGAGACAGAGAAACATCAATGTGAGAGAGACATATTGATTGCTTACCTTTGCACACACACTCCAACCAGGGCTGTGAGATAGAGCCTGCAACTGAGATATATGCCCTTGATCGGAATCGAACCGGAACCCTTCAGTCTGCAGGCTGACACTCTTTCCACTGAGCCAAACCGGCTAGGGCCATATCATCATTTTTAATGAACATATAATAATCCAATGTGTGGGTACACTTTAATTTATTTAACAAATCTCTTGTACATTTAAATATCTCTGCAAAGAAGAGCTCTATATATACTTTATAGTGTGATCTTGGATGATTTCCTTAATGTAAATTCTGAAAAGAAACATTTCTGGGTCAAAGGGCTTACCAATTTAGGGTGTTTTTTTGTTGTTCTTTTCTTTTCTTTTTATTTTATGCCATATCACTTACTAGAAATGCTGCCTACTAGTAGTATGTGATAGTACTTCTTTCTTCTAAATCCTTTCCTACACTAGATATCATCACTTTTGTCTTGATCTTTTCTAACTTAATAGATTTTTAAAATCACATTTTGCCCTGGGTGGTGTGCTCAGTGGTTAGAGCGACGGCCTGCCCACAGAATGGTTACAGGTTCGATTCCTGGTCAAGGGCATGTACCTGGGTTGCAGGTTTGTTCCCTGCCCCAGGCTGGGGCGAGGGCAGGAGGCAATCAATCGATGAGTCTGTTTCTCTCTCTCCCTCCCTTCCTTCCACTCCCTCTTAAACAAACAAACAAACAAACAAAAATCAGTGGGAAAAAATAAGCCCTGGGTGAGGCTTAACAGCAACAATCACAATTAATTTGCATTTCTTTGTGATGAGCTTCCTATGTTTTTTGGACTTTCTTCTTTGAGAATGGCAGCTCACGTTTTTTGCCTATTTTTTCTATTGAGGGATTTGGTTTTATGTGGTTAGGATCGCCAAACAATCTCCATCAAAACCGTTGCCTGTCTCAGAAGCGATATTTCCTTGTTATCGCAAGTGTGTATTTCTTTGGTTATTAACGGGCCTGAGCATTTTCTCAGATTGGCTCTTTGGATGATAGCTTGTCTTCTTGCGGATCCCTAAGTTTATCCTGTTTCCTCCTTTTCTCCAGACAATTTGGAGCTGTGGACCGAGCACCCGTTCTTTGGGGTGGCCAAGATCACCTTCAGCCTGTCGCTGATGCTGGGCTTCTTCTTCACCATCTGGCTGTACCTGCCCTACATCCCTGGGCTGCAGCGAGTGCCCTTCTTCGGCTTGGTTGGGTGCATCATAAGCGTCTGTGAAGGTGCCCCTTCGTTCTGGGAAAGATCCTCAGTGTCTCCTAACCCCGTCTTCCCCGGCACTGCTCCCTCGTCCTTTCTCTGGCCGTTGGGGAGGGGCTTGGTGGGTGGTGGAAACACAGAACAGGTAGAACTGGCAGTTGTTGGCTGGAAATGGATTTCCACCATTTCCTGGTCACTAGAGAGGTGGAAGCGAGGGGTTGACTCCCAGGAACCTCTGGGGCCATGGACTCTGTGTGCGCTCATGGGAGTCGTGGTTTGTGGCTATGGCACCGCAGATGAGGAAGAGTCCCTATGGGATCCGCGGGTGGCAATGACCCTTCTGCTTCCTGTCTCCTAGTTGCCTTACTTTTCTCCGGCCTCCTGTTGTTTCCGATTGATGTCTGGCTCTACGAGGTGGAGAAGAATTTTTCAATCCACATCGGGTGGAGCTATTTTATTGGCTGGGTGGTGTTTATCTTATATCTCATCTGTGGTGAGTGTCCTGGAGGGCCCTGGGAAGGAGGGGACGCGGGTGCGGGTCAGGGCAGAGAAAGTGTGGCGAGGCGGCTGACCGTCACAGGGATGGGTTCTCAGGGACTTCCTTTGGGGCTCACCCTGCTTGCCACTTTCCTTCCACTCTCTGCCTTTCCTCTCCCCCATCCCCTTGTCTTTTCCCAGCGTTCCTCTGCTACTTCAACAATAAAAGGTTCTGGAGTCTGATTCTGAGCAGCGCGTCTTCCACCCTGTCCTTCAGCAGCAGCAGCAGTAGGTCAGGTTCGCTGAGTACAGGGTCTCAGACATCTGTGTCCACTGGGAAGAAGCCCGGGATCTGAACGAGGCAAGGAATCTCTGTGAGCTTTTCTGAACCCCTGGCACCCAGTTCTGTCCTTTGATCTGGCTCACCCTCCTCATTCTTCCCCACAACCCTTAAGGAGTTCGGCCCTCCTCACTGCAAATCATTCGAAAGCAAGGATTTTGGACCCGCTTTGCACGCCTCTACTTTGTTCCCGCTTTGCCTGCAGTTTGGGTAACGTGGAATAAATTGTCTTTTATTTATCATCTCTGGCAGTTGTTGAAGAAGGAGAGGAAGGGAGAAAGAACAAGTTTGTTTCCGAATTCTTTCTACCTAGGAGCCTTTTGGCACTCTTTGGTCCCCACACCTGCCCAACCCCTCCCACAGCACCCTGTACACGGACGGGCAAATACCTCTCAAGAATTAAGCCTCTTTACTCTTTTTTACCCCCATCTCAAACTTTGTTCGTTAGGAGATAGGGGGAATGATCAGGAAAGAGATATCACTTACGAATTTGTTGGCTTAATTTATTCACAGTGAAGAATTCAAGAGCAAAATGGCATTTGGAAAGAGGCGGGTTAAACCGTGAGAGCACTATAGGGGGTTGTATCATGTGCCCTGGACAGCAGTCCAACCCTCTGTCCAGCTCAAATGACTAGAACTCATGAGCAGTCTGCCCAGATAACACCAGCACCAACCTCAACCCTACCTCCACCACCTCCTCCACCATCACCATCACCACCTCCATTTCTACCACCACCTCCACCTCCTCCATCCCCTCCACCTCTACCTCCACCTGCACTTTCACCACTACCACTACAATCAACTTTAAAAAAAATATATCTTTATTGATTTCAAAGAGGAAGTGAGAGGGATAGAGAGTTAGAAACATCGATGATGAGAGAGAAACATCAATCAGCTGCCTCCTGCACACTGCCCCCGCCGCCCCCCGGGGACATGCCCACAACTGAGGTACATGCCCTTGACCGGAATCCAACCCGGGACCCTTCAGTCCGCAGGCCGACGCTCCATCCACTGAGCCAAACCGGTCAGGGCCACCACAATCAACTTTACCACCTCCCTTCCTTTCTGAAATCAATAAAAAGATATTTTTTTTAAAAGAAAAGAAATAAAAAGGGAATTGAGAGGCACACAAGAGTCGCTGGTCCATAGCAATTCTCAAATCCAGCTGGGAAAATGTTGACATTTCCTGCATTAAAACTCAGTCTGATTTCGGTCCAGGAGTGTCTCCATGGATCTTTTTAAATCTTTTTTTAAAAGATATAATTAATATACCATAAAATTTACTATTTTTAAAGTATACAGTTCAGTGGTTTGGGTATATTTACAATGTTGTGCAACCATCACCACCATCCAATTCCAGGACATTTTCACCATCCTAACCACTCTCCATTCCCTTTAGCCCCTACTAATCTATTTCCTGTTTCATTGGATTTACCTATTCTGACATTTAATATAAATTAAATTATAAAATATATGGCTTTTTGTATCTGGCTTCTTTTGCTTAACAAAGTTTTCATGGTTCATTCATGTTGTATAAAGTATCAGCACTCCATTTCTTTTTTTATGGCTGAATAATATTACATTCATGGATATGCCATATTTTATTTATCTATTTGTAAATCGATGGACATTTTGGCTGTTTCCACCTTTTGACTATTATGAATAATGTTGCTATGAACAAGTTTTCATACAAAAGTTTTCAGTTCTTTAAGGTATATATAACTAGGAGTGAAATTACTGACTCACATGGTAACTCTATGTTTAACTTCTGGCCGAACTGCCAGAATGTTTTTCAAAGCAACTGTACCATTTTATACTCCCATTAGTAATGAGAGAAGAGTCCAATTTCTCTACATCCTTGCCACACGTTTTCGTACATGTTATTGATTCAATATTTCTTAATAAATGTGAAGTCCTCTCTCCCTGTGGTTTTGACTAGCATTTTCCTAATGCATTTCTCCAAGAGGTAATCTCATGTGTTTACGGACAATTTGTACATCCTCTATGGCTCTGCCTGCTATGTTCTTGATCTTACCTTCTGAATCACCCTTTTCTATGAAAGGCAGCCCGTTTTTTTTTTTGCGCTGTGTAGTTTTCACAGCCTACTTCTTGCTAGAATTTGGGGGGATTGAACCTGCAACCTTGGCATATGGAGACGATGCTCTAACCAACTCGGCCAGGGCCTTTGAGTTTTTTTATTTCAGTTCTTGTATTTTTCTTTTCTTTTTTTAAAAAAATATATTTTATTGATTTTTTACAGAGAGGAAGGGAGAGAGATAGAGAGCTAGAAACATCGATGAGAGAGAAACATCGATCAGCTGCCTCCTGCACGCCCCCTTCTGGGGATGTGCCCGCAACCCAGGTACATGCCCTTGACCGGAATCGAACCTGGGACCCTTCAGTCCGCAGGCTGATGCTCTATCCACTGAGCCAAACCAGCATTGGCAGTTCTTGTATTTTTCAGTTCTAAAATTCCCACTTAGTGGTTCTATATATCTTCTATTTCTTTGCTGAGACTTTCTATTTTTTTGTCATTTGTTTCAATCACGTTTGTAATTGCTCATTGAAGCATATTTGTGATGGCTGCTTTAAAATTCTTATTAGAGAATTCCAGTGTGGAATCATGCATCTGTCCTTTTGTGTCTGCTTATTTCACTTGGCATAACATCATCACGGTTCATCCACGTTGTAGGATGTATCAGAATTTAATTTTTCTTAAGGCTGAAAATATTCTATTGTATGTACAGACCATATTTTGCTTATTCATTCAGCAGTTGATGTACACTTGTGCTGTTTCCATCTTTTGGCTATTGTGAATAATGCTGTTATGAACATTGGTGTATAAATCTCATCTGTGTAATTTTAAGCCAGAGTCTGATGGATTCAGTAGTAGCCATTTAGTTTCATATTGTAGTCATGAATGCTGTTCACCAAATCTTTCTAGCTTTCTGCCTTCTGGGAATATGCTAAGATTTCACCTTCTGACTCCCTTGTGTTTGGGTAGAGTCATGTGACTAGTTCTGGCCAATGAATTGTGAGACACACTTCCTCTTTTGGACCAGAGCATTTAATTGCCAGTGTAAAATCCTCTAGAGCAGCAGTTCTCCAACGACCCTTTCACAGGGGTCGCCTAAGACCATCGGAAAACACATATATAATTACATATTGTTTTTGTGATTAATCACTATGCTTTCATTATGTTCAATTTGTAACAATGAAAATACATCCTGCATATCAGATATTTACATGACGATTCATAACAGTAGCAAAATTACAGTTATGAAGCAGCAACGAAAATAATTTTATGGTTGGGGGTCACCACAACATGAGGAACTGTATTAAAGGGTCGCGGCATTAGGAAGGTTGAGAACCACTGCTCTAGAGCAAGCATGTCAAACGCAAAGGCTAACATGGGCCAAATAAACAAGGTTTAAGTTATGTGGACCGCAACAAGGCAAAAGCTTCAATTTTCATAGAAACGTAGGTTTATTTCGAAAAGTAAAGTGTAAAAAAAAAAAAGCACAAAAGCAATGATAAAATTAATGTTTTCTTCCTGACAATTGGCATCTCTTCTCTGCTACTATCTTTCCTACTTCGGGGGAAATCTTGTTCGCAGTGATCACTTTCAAAACTGACCCAAGGTGAACGTCACTAATCCTGGATCTGACAGGAGACTTATTTCCTTTCATAATTGTAAATAACTGCTCACACCGATAAGTACTTCCAAACATGGAAATAATTTCCTATGTGAATTTTTGAGTATTTTCAAACCTGGCAGGTAAATATTTGTAAAATTCAGGCACGCCAACTTCACTGGATTTTGCCTTTAAATCTGAATCACACTGGATCTCAATTACCTCCATTTGCATTTGATTAGGTACTGATTCTATATTTATTGAAAAAATTGAAGAAAATTTCTTCCAAATATTTAAAATCTGCAAACCTTGTTTCAAATTCAGTTCTAAGGCTTAAATTTTCTTCTGCGTATTTTTGATACGATGCAGTTTCACCTAAACTTGATTTGTTCATGTTGCATGCCAGAAAGTGCATTAAATCTTCATTTTTTCAACTGCTTTTCCCAAAGAACTAGCTTACATTTGAATGCTTTGACTTGGTCACACATGTTTGTAATAATCTGATCTCTTCCTTGCCGTTTTAAGTTATAACAAAACATATATGTGTTTTGTTTTATCAACCATGAAGATAAATCTTGCAACCATATCTTGTCAAAAAACAGGCTTGTGTCTTGATTTTTAGTTATTAAGAACTGACATAGTTCTTCTTTCAAGTCCCAGAATTGTTTAAGAACCTTGGAGCAGGATAGCTAACGTACCTCAGTATAGTAGGACAAACTGCAATATTCGCTGTCTAATTCACTTAAGAAAGCAGAGAACTGTGGCTGATTTAAACTTAGAGATTTTATGAAATCGATAATTTTTTTTGATAGATGTCAACACACTTTCCATGTTTATTACCTTCTTTACGCATAATACTTCTTTTTTTAAAATATATTTTATTGATTTTTTACAGAGAGGAAGGGAGAGAGATAGAGAGTTAGAAACATCGATGAGAGAGAAACATCGATCAGCTGCCTCCTGCACATCTCCCACTGGGGATGTGCCCGAAACCCAGGTACATGCCCTTGACCGGAATCGAACCCGGGACCCTTCAGTCCGCAGGCCGACGCTCTATCCACTGAGCCAAACCGGTTTCGGCCGCATAATACTTCTTGATGTATTATGCAATGAGTATGATAAATCTTGGATCCATTATAAATTTCACTTTGTTTTTTTTTTTTTTTTTTGCAGTAATTCCACGAAACCATTGTTTCCGGTCATTGAAGGAGCTCCATCTGTAGCTACAAAAGTTAATTTTGAGAGAGGTAGATTGTGTATTTGCAAGATTGTATATTTGCAAGTTTAAAAACACAATTAAATATATCTTGTCCTGTACTAGTGTTATGCATCGGTACGAGTTCCAACAATTCCTTAAAAATGTTGAAATCCGTGTCGCAAGCACGAAGAAACACAGCTAACTGAGCTACGCCTCCAATATCCGTACTCTCGTCACAGGCAATGGAGAAAGCTTCGAAACTAGGTGATTTTGCTTTGATCTGAATACTTAAATTGTCGGCCAAATCAGTAACTCTTTCCGCAACTGTATTTTGAGACAAAGAGATTCTCTGAAAAGACTTCCCATTTCCAGGACAAATAATTTCTGCAGCTTTAATGAGACATTCCTTGATGAAACCACCTTCAGTAAAAGGTTTCGAGGGTTTAGCTATCAACTCCGACAAGAAGTAGCTTGCATGCCCCGCTGCTTCACTTTCATGTGATACTTTAGTCACCATGAACTATTGTTTATTCAGCCCCAATTTGAGCTCTTTCAACTTTTCTTGTCTCA